AATTAGTTTTTAAACTTTTAAAAACTTTTTTACAAAAATTTAATTAGTTTTTTATTTATGAAAAATAATTGGCTAATGGATTGGGTTTTGAAACCCATTTGAAATATTTTGATTTTTAAACAATCGGCAGACGAGTCGCTTGAATATGAACTCAAAAACGGTGAACACCTGCCCATCACTTCCGGCACCGTTAGAGTGAGAGTGTCCGCAGGAGGGCATCGGGTTTATATGGGGTCAGGCGTTATGGGAACGGCAGCTAATTATCAAATATTCAAATAAACAAATTTGTTCCTAAATTAGGTCTTTATTTTATTGAATATAAATTGGGTCTCAAATAGCCATGGTTAAAATAGGTGTATTATAAAATAATTTATAATGACATCAAAACAAAGTCACAACAAATGTTTAGAAATCTAATCAATAATTAATACATAAATGAAAAGACAAAACAAATATTTAGTTAAAAAAGTTTATTGAATTTGGATTTTTAACACAAAATGTGATGCATTTAAACAATACCTGAGAGTAAAAATAATTTTTATATCAAATTAACAAATTCATACAAATGTTGAGACAATAAAAAACAAACTAAATAAACGCTAAACCAATGGATCACTTCATCACTTCTTAAGCAAATTATTTCTCTTAAATTCATGAAAACTGGTCACGTCTTCAGCCAATCGGGCGATCAGTTTCATAATCTGCGGGTCGTATCTGTTAGGGAAAGGCATGGAAACGAGCGATTAGTATGGGGTAGACATGTGTGGATCAGTTGATGACATACTCGTTGCCCAAGACATTGATGTTGACGAATGTCTGGGCGAGACACAGGAGCCGATCCAAGGGGTACTTCACCTTATGGGTGAGTATGAAGTCCCGGCGCAACACCCAGTGGTCTGTGATCTCCCACGACTTGCGCCATCCCTCCACTTCCTCTTCAGTCAACTCCGCGTTGTATTCCTCGCCATCAGTGGTCACCATCTCTTCGTCGCTCATCCTCTGCACCAAAGATTGTCTTCAAATTGAAACCAAAAACACAAATAAAAGTGAAAAAATGAAAACTAATTTGTCTTTTGGTTTGAATTTTGCATTCAATTCAATGCATTGAGTGTTGAATACAGACTCCAAACACACTGTGAGTGCCATCTGTGGACGCATTCACTCAACGCTAACACTATTTTCAACGCTATTTGAAAAAGTGGTGCAAAAAACACGTGCTTTTGGTTTGCGTTGAGATCTGTTTGCCATTCATTTGGTTTGTGATCCCAAACAGTACTTTAAATCTTGTTTTAAAGGCTCACCGAAGAGCTGACAATCACTTTAATTATCACTTAAAGTAGTCTTTATTTAACTATCAATGGGAAGACCAGGTATTGTCATGTGTTTACAAGTGTTTGCAATACTTTTAGTAACACCTCATGTCTTAGGCTTTAGTCCGCGTGGCGGTGGCTTCAGAGGAGGCGGCGGTGGACGCGGAGGTCGTGGCGGTGGAGGCCGTGGTGGCGGCGGCGGAGGTGGCGATGGGAACAGCGGTTGCTTTAAATGCGGACAAAGCGGTCACTTCTCACTATCAATGGGAAGACCAGGTATTGTCATGTGTTTACAAGTGTTTGCAATACTTTTAGTAACACCTCATGTCTTAGGCTTTAGTCCGCGTGGCGGTGGCTTCAGAGGAGGCGGCGGTGGACGCGGA